ATATAGTTCAGCTTCTAGGATTATTTGCTTAGCATACAGACTAAATAAATACAGTGAAAGGACACAACTCCGGAACACACTTTTCCTGATTTTAAACCATGCAATATCCCTTTGTTCTGCTCAAATGACAATTTATCAGTCTATTTACAAGTACTGCATGATCACAATGAAGTGTACTGGAATTCCCATTCTTCGAAATGTGATCCATAGTTTGTTATGATCTACACAGTCGAATGCCTCTTTATAGTCAATAAAACACAAATAAACTAATTTTAGTATTTTCCAGTTTTAGCTAACATCCATCTGATGCCTGTAATGATATCCTTCATTCCATGGCCTTCATTTGAATCCAGCTTGAATGTTGGCACCTCCCTATTGATGTGCTGCCACACCTATTTTTAAATTATTTTCAGCCACATTTTATTTGTGTGTGATATTAATGATAATGTTTGATTTGATGATTTCCACATTCTGTTGGATTACCTTTCTTTGGATAGGGCACAAATGTAGAACTCTTCCAATCAGTTGTCCAGGTGGTTGCATTCCAATTATCTTGGAATAAGCTAGTGAATGTTCCCAGTGCAGCATGTTGGACTTTGTTGAAGAATTCTATCAACTTTCTTTTTCATCATCCCAAATAGAAACTTAGTACCAACTTCTTTGGTAGAATTCTTTAATTTCTTCACTACTGGCTTTGTTGGTTGGTGCATAAATTTGAATAAGAGTTGTATTAACTGGTCTTCCTTATGTTGCTGTTGTTGCACAGATGAGAACACTGTTGAGTAGGTTCCAACCCATAACGACCCTGTACAGGGTTTCCTTATAGGCTTATGGATATTTTCTTATCACAGACAGCACTGTACTGAAAGATAGGTCTTGAAATGTTCTCTTTGATAATTAATGTGACAACATTCCTCTTCAATTTGTTGGTACTAGAATACTAAACCATATTATTGTCTGGTTCAAAATGGTCAATACTTGACCATTCCAGCTCACTAATGCCTTGGATATCAATATTTATGCATTTCATTTCATTTTTGATGACTTTCAATTTTCTTAGATTCATACTAAGTGCATTTCATGTCCTGACTATTAGTGCAGGTGTTTCTTCTCATTTTGAGTTGTGTTCCACCAGAAAATGAAGGTTCTGAAAGCTTTGCCCCATCCACATAATTAAGGTTGAATGTATTTTGAGGAAACAGATTTTTCTTGGTTGTATTTTGAATGCCTTCCACCCTGAGGGGTTCATCTTCCAACACTATATCAGACAATGTTTCACTGCTAGTCATAAGGCTTTCAGGAGCTAAAATTTCAGAAGTTGTTAGGGGAGTGCAAATTAAAAGCACAATGAGATAGTATTTCATACCTGTTAAGATGGGAATTATCAGACAGTAGAAAAATAACAAGTGTTGGTAAGAATATAGAGAAATTGGAACACTTAGGTTTTGTTAGTGGAAATATAAAATGATGCAATCACTGTGGAAAACCGTATGATGGATTCTCCAAATGTTAAACATAGCATTATCATATTACCCAGCAACTGCCCTTCTAGATATAAACCCAAAAGAACTGAAAGCACGAATTCAGACATGGTACCCCAAAGTTTAGTGCAGCATTATTCACAATAATTGAAAAGTTTTAACAGTTCAAAAATGTCAGTGGATAAATTTATAAGCAAAATATGATATATAAATACAATAAAATATTTAGATATTTAGAGAAATAAAGTGTGGACACATACTATGATGTGGATGTATCTTGAAAACATGCTGAGTGAAATAAGGCACACAAAAAATTTAATTATTTATGTTCATACTTTTATGAAATATCTGGAATAGCCAAATGGAAAAAAAAACAAAATTCATTAGTGGTTGCCAAGGTTTGGTATGGGCACAGAGTTTCTATGTGAGGTAATGGAAACCTTAAAAAAATAGTGGTGATGGTTGTATAACACAATGAAAGTAATTAATGTTACTGTATTATATATCTTAAAATGGTAAAATTTTGTTTACATATATTTTATCTCAATAAAAACCCAACTCTCAAAGATAAGACATCTGATTGGATTATGCTGATCTGGGCTTTCTAGTGCCTCTTTACCTATTTTGCCAGTACTTCTTGAGAAATACAGTATCATTCAGGATCTCAAATGATCTCTGCAATATTATTTACAAAGTGTTCATATTGCAATAAAAAATAAAAACAAGAAATAAGAAAAACAACCTACACCTATAAATGCAGTAGCTCAAAAGAGGAAACAAGTCCCTGCTGCAAGAACTATACCCACCCCCTCCACACAAAGGATAGACAGGGATGGGCAAATTGGACATTGGCTACCCAAAGTAGGGGGAGGGATACAAAGGCAAGAAGTGACTGGCTTACAAGCTTTCAAGAGGGAACCTAGATCCAGAGGGTGTGGAGGGAGGTGGAGTCTCCAGTGAGTGGTGTCCAGCCTGTCAAGACAGGAAGGGCTGATGAAACGAAATATAGATGGGTCTCTTGTGATGCAATGGTGAATAATTGTTATCAGGATTGATTGAGAGGGTTGGAAATCTAAAGATGGACATTTTGTAACAAAGAGGGGAGTGACTGATTTATCAGTCTAGGAGCAGAATACCCTGGGACCATCAATGGAGAAGAGTGAAGAGCGGAATCCTACCCAGAGAGGCAGGGAGGCCTGGGATGGAGGCAGAGAAGACATCATCAAGAGATGGTGGGGCTGGGGGCTCGGGATCAGGAGATGGAAAGGGCCTGAGGACTGTGGTGGGAGGGGGGTGCAGGTTTACAGGGTACACCCCTTGGTTGGGTGAGGATGCATGGACAGGATGATAACTATGCCAACGAAATGATGGATGATGGAATGAATGTAGAGCTGATGTTCTCCCGTGTAGATTATCACACAATTCACAATAAAACATTAAAAAACAAACAAACAAAAAGGAATAAGAAAAACATAATACCAAGAGATAATAGATAATATTTATTCTATATGAAACTACCGAACACACATTTAAAATGACTATATTCAACATGCTTAAGGAAATAAAATACAAGATTCAAATGCAGAAAGAGAATGGGTATCTATAAAATGAACCAAAAGGAAGATCTAGAATAGAAAAACAAAATAACTGAACTTGAAATCCATGGTTAAATCCACCAGTAGATTAGACATAATTGAAGAGGGATTAGTGGATGCTAGATGACAAGTCAATAAGAAATTATCTAAAATGAGACATGAGGCAGAAAAGGATAAAAAATATGATAACAAATAAAACCATGTAAGAGACGTTGTTGTTGTTAAGTGCTATCAAATCAGTTCTGGATTACAGTGACCCTGCATAAGTTTCTGAGGAGCCGATAGTGAGTTTGAACTGCCACCATGCAGTTCAAACAGACCTTGCAGTTTAGTGTTTATCCTACAGCGCCACACCAGGACTCCATAAAAGACACAGGAATAACGAAAATGTCTAGAGCACATGTAAATATTATTACATAATCACATCCTAACAAATTCCTAATAACATCAAAAGTGGGAACACTATCATGAACTTGACATCAAGAAAGGACAATCAAAAGAGGGAATAAATCTTTACAGCAAGGATCATTCCTACCCCCTCAATACACAGAGTAGACAGGGATGGGCAACTTGGACATTGGCTTCCCAAAATGTGTGTCGGGGGGAGAGGGGACTACAAAGGCAAGAAGTGACTGGCTTACAAGCTTTCAAGAGGAAATCTAGATCCAGAAGGTGTGGAGAAGGTAGAATCTCCACTGAGTAGTATCCAATCTGTCTAGGTGGGGCTGGTGAAAGGATAGGTCTCTGGCAATACAATAGTGAATAACTGTTATCAGGACTGATTGTGAGGGTTGGAAATGTAAAGGTAGATGTTTTGTAGCAAGGACGGGAGTGATTAACTTTGCAGTCTAGGAGCGGAGGTCCCTGGGACCATGAAGGGAGAAAAGCAGAGAGCGGGACCCTACCCAGAGAAGCAGTGACACCAGAGATGAAGGCAGAGATGATGGAGCAGATGGGGACTTTTGACCCAGAGAGGGAGAGGGGCTCTGTGCTGATGGCTGGGGGTCAGGCTTGTAGGATATACCCTTTGGTTGGTTGATGATGCATGGAGGGGACTATAAAACCATGGTAATGAAATGATATACGATAGGATGAATATAAAACAAATTGTTCTCCCATGTAAACTATCACATAATTCACAATAAAACATTAAAAAAAAAGCCAGGAGGATAAAATTCTTTGGGAAAAAACAAAGAAAGGATGACTAACCACAGTACATATTTAAGTTACTATTTTCTTATACTAAATCTTGCATTAGGCAAACCTGCTGCATAAGACTTCTTTAAAGTGTTCTACAGCAAAGATGTCAGTTTGAGGACTAAGGTGTGCCTGACCCAAGCCATGGTAGTTTCAAAAATCTCATCGGCACGTGAAAGTTAGACAATGAATAAGGAAGATCATAGAAAAACTGATGCATTTGAGTTGTGGTGTTGAAGCAGAGTATTAAAAGTATCATGTACTGCCAAAATAACAAACCAATCTATGTTGAAAGTAGTACAGGAAGAAAGCTCCTTGGAAGCCAGGATGGCCACACTTCATCTCTCATACTTCGGACATATTATCAGGAGCTACCAGTCTCTGGAGAAGACACCATGCTTGGTAAAGTGGTGGGTAGGTGTAAAAGAGAAGACTCCCCATGAGATAGATTGGCACAGTGGCAACAGCAGTGGGCTCAAGCGTAGCAATGATTGTGAGGATGGTGCAGGACCAGACAATGTTACATTCTGTTGTACACAAGGTCATATGAGTTAGTACCCACTCAAAGGCTCCTAACAACAACAACAACAACAAGTCTAATCTAACAAAGATACCAATAAGGAATTGTTTCCATTTTTAGTACTGCACTTAAATAATTTAAGAACAACCTTTAAGTTTATCAGACATACTAAGTGATAAAAATTAGAAAAGATGCTTAGTTACTTACATTCCATAGGCAGAGCTTACAGAAAGACTAGTGATCTGTTGAGGAGGTTCACCATCCACCCACACCAACTGAATAACAAGTTCTGCTTGATACCCTGGAGGCATCCGCACTGGACGGGTCTTAACACTAGAAGAAAGAGAAAAAAATAACTGCATTACTGCTTTTAGAGTACACAGTTTAAATAAGCATGCTCAAGCTTATTTTGAGAATATATATGGAATCTTCCCATGGAAACAGATAATACCAGACACTGGGTGCTCCACAAGGGTAGATGATAGCGTCTAGATTTCTCAAAATACACTGAGCCACTTGTATTTTGAGTGTATTTGTGTAAAATTTATTTAAGTAAATTCATATTTATTTAAATAAACTTTATTGTTTTCATTCATTCCCACAGCTTCAACTGACCTTCATCACTTCCTTTTTAATTTATTTGATTTCCTCTTATAATAAAAATTTTTAAGTATAAATAATTTTGTTCTGTCATTATTTTTCTTAAGTAATTTTCTTACATTTATATGTTGTAAAACATAACGATAAAAATGACCTCTAACTTATTAGCCAATTTGTTATTCTTATTGCTTTGCGCAGTTGAGTCAGGTCTGTACAAGGTTTCAGAGAAACAGCTGGAGGATTTCAACCACCGATCTTGCAGTCAGAAGTACAGTGCTTACTCTACTGGGCCACACCAGGACATTAACCAATTTAAGAGTTCATATATTCAAAACTTTAATTTCTACTCTTTCCCTCAAAAGTTGCTCCATTTTTAGCTTTCCCTGCTTCTGTTGATAATAGCATCCATTTTTCTAGTTATTCAGCTAAACATTTTAAAATCTGGGATTAATATTCTTATTTCATACCTTAAATTCAATTTATTGCATCAAATGCTACAGATATTACTTTAAAAATTATATCCACAATATGACCACTTTTGACTTTTCTTCTGCTGCCATCCTCATTTGTTGT